ATGAGGTGAGAAAACCCAGGATAATAGAACTGAGAGCTGACCTTCGCCGAGGGTCAGTGCCCGAGTCGCGTCGCGGCACCAACCTCGCGCCCAACCTCGCACCCGGTGCGGGCTAGCGAGCCCATTGTTCTCTCTTATGATTTTCCACTATCCTACGATGCCTTATGCCCTAAGATATTCAATATTATTCATGCTTTTCGCGTTAGTAAGTCTCGGGTGTAGCGACGAAGGTCAATTGTAGTGCCCGGCACTACAACCGGCACCAGTGCAGGCCTCCTCCCCACAGGACCTAGGAGGCGAGCATCCCGAGTGGGGCAAATCGAATAACAACAGATTTTGGAAACTTAAGAATTACTGTATTTCGATAAATATAAGCTACGGTTTCAAGGTAATGGGCCTACGTTAGATGCCGATCATAGACCCTGCTCGAGGGGCAGGTAGCAACATAGCCGTAGCAGTATGCGCTGTGCACGACAGCACCGGTGCCGGCGCTATCGCCAACCCCAATCTGCAGGCATTCATAGACATCTCTAGTGTACACATGATAATTTGCTGATAAACTGCCTTACTTCGATACTAGTAAGAAGGCCCTGTCCTCGTTCAGCGTGTTGACTGCTTGTAGATTGCCAACTAGCTACGGTCAGGAGCACCCGATCGTAGTGCCCATGCACTACAGGTCCTTCCTGGGCGAGCAAGCCTGTTTTTACACTGAAGCACGGAAAAATACTCAACTCTCATTGAGATTTCGAATGTGGCCTGAATATGGGGCATCATGAACTATCTGAATGACATTTAACATTTGATATCTAGCATTGTGTGCATCATTCAAGAGCCTGATCTGTCACTGGATCTCTCAAGCACGCATGATAGGCGAGGCGCATATAGAAGAGCATGCAGGGCCTGTAATGCGCAGTTCTACACTGTAGCAGGGCAACATTCATTAATGTCGTTTTTACGCTTTAAGCCATGCTTTTATTGAGTAGTGGTAAGTGCGAATTCGTAGCCAGAGCCAGAGGTACACATAGCGCCTGGCTCACTACAAAGCCATTCCACCTCTTTGCTGACAATGCAGCTATCTCATGCTTGTGAAAGCTGAGCAGAATGCCTCCCACAACCTACATAGCAGGTCCTGCGGGAACCTTGCTGGGCAACTTGAAGAGATGGGCACGGAAGCCCCTTGGGGGCACACGGCGAGACAGCCTGTCATACAGAACAGCCTTGTGCACCCGTAAGAGATTAAGGGTCTCAGTTGTGGTTTTATGCGCTTCCATCGCGGTCTTTCTTCCCGAACAACAGAGTACGCTTGAGCTTGGAATTGGACGACGGACGCTTCTCGTCACCAGGGTACTTGGCTGCTAAGGGAACCAAGAACAATGAAGTGGCCAGTGTGGGGCTGTTTCGTTGTGAGCCAGAAGAGCACAAAATAGCGTTCCCTGCCTCCCTTCACAGAGCCGTAGCGCGGTCTTAGTGTTCAATAGCAGGTGGACTATGACGTAGTTCTTGTAGTGGGAACCAGCCCTTTACTAGGCCTTTTTGATCCAGTGTTCTCTTTCACCGCAGTGTGTTTGCTAGCTTTTGATAAACCTTCGGGTGCCACCCCTGCACAGTAAAGCGGCAACCGCATGACTTCGCCCAGGACCTGCAGTACGGAGGGCCTTCCCTAGCAGAATTTCCCCTTTGCCAGACCCCTTGCACGTCTTATCCAATCTCCTGGCTCCCTGCTTCTTGCTGGGACACTCTTTTGCTCGATAGTAACTCTTTTGTGAATCGTACTACGCAAATGCTTCTCTCCCAAACCATTGGCATGGCAAATCTCCGTCGCCCTTCTGCGCCCTTCGATCACTCCCCCTATTGCCTCTGAGAGATCATAACGCGGGGCATGCCCTTCCGACTCTCCGTAACGGCCAGCCACAGTATGCGGATGCAATTCGAGACTATTTGCGCCGCCTCCGGCGATGAAGACTCTACAATTCCGCCCTTGGTGATTTGCCCAATCTAAATGTGGGGCACTTTTGCAGGGAATGAACCTAAAATCTCATTCGTCTCTATAGTGGCAGCTCGCTCTGCTTGAGCTGCGACTTGTGCAGTATACTCGTCGGCCTCCCACTACGAGACCAACACGCATTATTGCATATATATATATTTGATAGACTACAGAACCTACTGTGGAACCATTAATTAAGTGTGCAGTGGCTCATGTTAGAGTGTCCTTGAGGTATATCCAGAGTGGTATGTCAGGGAGCCCGCTGCTCCCCAAGATATTGCCTTGCGGCCCAGGCCAATATAGAACGAAGCTTGAAAAGGCCCCCACAGCTCAACCTGGTGCTGACATCTTTGTGCTTCTGATATTGTTGATGGTCCGGAATTGCCCTCTTCATATTGCCTTGTTTTAAGCTTTGCTGCAAATTTTTTAACCTTGGCGGTAAGTTGTTGAATAGTCATCATGCGGTTTGTAGCTGTGACTGTCCCACCGTTGGAGCAGCGTGGCACTCTTGTCCACTGGTTGCTTTGCTTGGTGCTTTGCGGAGCTTTCTCTGGGCGCCCACTGTGAAAACATTTCCTTGTGGAGACTGTCCTGGCTCTTGCACGGCGCATCCGTCACGAGCTGGACTTCCCAAATTGAGGTCACAAGTTTCCTCTACATTGCTTAGTTAGTGCTGCAGGGGGTGGCCCTTCGAAAATGTGAAGGTTAAGGCAGTCAAAGCGATTGCGGAACAGCCTCCACTTGTAGTGCACAAAACGCAGCTGGCTGCTATCGCCGGCTAGCCGACTTCTTACTATACATCAACGGCAATAATCGGCGTTCTAATACACTAAGCACCTAGCGGAAACGAACAGCAAGTTCTAGTAGTGGATAAAACACATTTAATTTCTGCTGGCAACGGCTGACCTCCCAGCGTGCAAAAAATTCCCCATTAGCTATGGGTCATCCACGAGCCCTCTGTTTCGCTACAGAGATTACACAGTCTAGCCTCCTTCACAGCTCTGTCGCTATCCAAACGTTGTTGCTAATCTGTATTCAAACGTTGTTGCCAACGCGTATCGTGAATGAGTTTAATTAGACTTACTCTTTCCCCCAAGCCCGTTTCCGTGCTCTACTGTAGTGCACAGTACTGGAGTCTGGCTAATGCCGAAGCCATGCTGGGCCTGGTGCTTGACGCGAGTTGCAGTGCCCACTGTAGAACCAAAAGAAGTGTATCCTCTAGGAAAATGCCGCATTACTCCATCGTGTGAACAAAACGGTAAGAAGGCAGCGCTATGAAGCCGCGAAGAAGCTCCTTCAAGGTAACCAAATGGGATGAAGGTAACACAGAGGAAAATGCCAGTAGCCCAGTATATCAGTCAGTGTGATGAGCACTAGCATAGCCTAAGCGCTGACCATACAAAAGGAATACTCCTTCTTTCCCGAATCCTTGCAATCCTCCTTACGAATTTTATTTGTGCAAAATTTTGGCAAAAATTAAGGCCGGTGGGGGCAAACGTGGCCCCTCCCGCGGCTGGATGAAAGGCAGTTGCAGGCAGACCACACTGCAACGGGCCATCTCTAGGGCACAAGGGAGTCGTTTACTCCTGCCCAGCTCGGGCTCAGTCTGCAGCCCCTTGACTGACAGATATCATGGCAGAACTAGGAAGGAGAAGCCTCGCTTTGCCTAAAGTTTGTTGCCTGTGCGAGGTTTACCACTGGGGCCAAATGTCCGTCCACTTTCGGCACCAGCCTCCTCAACCAACGAGCCAGGCAACGCTATAATCTCTGTCGTTGCGCTTATTTTACTGGGTTTACATGGCTAGGTGGTCTCCCAAACAGGGAGCAGGTGTGCAAGGGAAGCTGTGTAGGAGGCATCAAGTGCTCCCGCACGTTTGGAGACAAGTAAGCAACGGTTCCCTCTACTTCTCTCGCCATGCGGCGTAAAAGAAAGGCCAGTGCCACCCTGATAAGCTGAATTATTCGTTATTATCAAAAACAACGAAGGTCATTGCAGAAACCGCTCCGAAGGAATCTATGTAAACTTACCTCAACAGAGGGGCAAGCAGCCATCTACATGCTCGTGAGCAGGAAAGGGATGATCTCTGAGTAGTAAGCTAACTCAGCAAAAGAAATAGTTAAAGATAAAACAGACAAATACCACAAAGAGAATGGGCATCTGTGGCTCCGAACTCCCACGAGCCGAGCTTCCTGCATCAGTAGTTGATTCAAATGACTGCCACAGCATAGCTCAAAAAGTCCCCAAGCTTCGGCAGAAGAGCCGCAATTATGGCGCTATATCTGCCGAAGTGAACTAAACTACTGCGACAACCCCCACATCTTTCGGTCAAGTCTTCGATGATATGAGCTAGTCCACTCAGTCGTTCAGCATGTTGTCGCGCTTCGTGAGCCTCTATAGGAGCCGAAATGTGTCTGTCAACACCCTTTGCAAATTCTAACGCTCAAGGCTGACGAGAGTGGAGCTCGTTGGTAGCATGCTCTTCAACAGTTACAAGCCCCCAGTCCCAAGCCCCAGACTGAGGATTCGACCTCCAGCATGAAGAGCTACCATATCATGGCCAGTCAGTATTGCAATGGCACTATATGCGTGTCTCAACTATAGCTTTAATTATTGAAAGTCCTCAACACCCCTAGAGAGTGGAGTCACTAAGCAACGATGCTGGGTAGCGGAGGCACCGGCCTCTTCGGAAACCTCTCAGCACCAGGAGGCAATGCTGCTCCCAATGCAGGATCGAACGCTGCTCCCGGGGGCCTCTTTGGGACGACGACATCGGCATCTGGGGCGGGGGCGGCGCCTGGGCTATTTGGAAACACCTCGTCTGGGTCTCTCTTCGGAGCCCCGGCAACTAGTGCCCCAGCCACTGGGGGTGCAGCTGCTTCGGGAACACAGCCGCAAGGTGGCGCTCTCTTTGGGTCAGGGACATCGAATTCAACACACCCTGTAGGAGGCCTTTTTGGTGGTGGCGCTTCCGGTACTGGGACAACGTCAAGTTCTGCGCCTTCCGGGACAGGCTTGTTTGGTGCTGGCTCCGCCACTACCGGGGCTTCCACAAATTCTGGATCTTCCGGTTCGGGTCTCTTCGGTACCGGCGCTGGTATAACTGGGACAGACAAGGGCACCAACTCCTTATTTGGGTCAGGGAGCAGCACCAGTGGTGGCGGGGGACTCTTCGGAAGCACCACTGCTGCAGGAGCTAACTCACAGAATGCATCTCAGCCAAGCCTCCTCGGAGGAATTTCGGGAACAGCCACCGGCTCATCTGAAACAGGGAAAGGGGGGCTGTTTGGTGCCACTGCAACAGCAGCCAAGCAACAGGAACCTGCAAAGCCCGGGGGCTTATTTGGCGGACTATCTGCAACGAATAGTACGACAGAAGCACCAAAAGGGGGCCTTTTCGGAAGCAGCTCCACCGTTGCAACGACAACGAGCAAGCCGGATACAGCTCCGGGGTCACTATTTGGGGCTTCCACAGCAGCACCCAAAGAACCGAACCATCTTGGTGGGGGCCTCTTTGGTGGAAAGCCTTCGTCAGTTCCCCCGTCTGGTCCAGGAACACTTGGTGGTGGCTCAGCAGGAAGCAGTGGAGGCACTGATGTTTTAAAAGGCACGGGCCTTTTCGGGAGCCAAGGCGATGCTCCAAAGCAGGCCAGTAGTGGCGGTCTTTTTGGCACCAGCTCCAGTGCGGCGGGAGGAGTTGGAACAGGGGCTGATGGAAAAGGGAGTGGGCTGTTGGCGGCCACGCCAGCCTCCTCCGCAGCAGCTTCCCAGCAATCGAAGCCAGCTGAGCAGAGCGGCACCACAAGTGGAGTTTCTCTTTTCGGCACAGGTGCATCCGGGGCTAGCAGTAGTGGTGGTGTCCTGACGTCAAATTCTGGGAAGACTACGGCAGAGCCGAAAGATGGACAAAAGGGGAGTGACGCCGCTGCACCGTCTTCATCGCCCCCGCTAGCGTCTGAGCAGAAGACAGGTCAGAGTTTGCTTGGAGGTAGCGGCATCTTAGGAGCACCTGCCACTGCCCCAGCAGCAGGTTCCCTCTTCGGCACCAAGCCCGAAAGCACTGCTGTGACGAACAACGCTGCGGCCACAACGCAGCCCTCAACCAGCGGGCCAGTGCTCCCGCCGGAAGAGGTTGCTTTAGAGACTATGCAGCATGAAAGGATGGACGATTTGCTGACTAACTGGGAAAGGAGACTGCAAAGAAAGGTGGGGCAGTTCGACGAGCTTGCTCAGGAGGTGGCAGCTGTCGAGGCGTCTCTCATAACGCAATCAAAGGCCCTCGCAGGTATCCGTGAAGAGCAACAACGCGTACACCGTAGGCAGCTTTTCGTTGGCGAGACGATCGATATGATTGAGCAGCAGCAGAATGACCTGTCAAACCTTTTGGCATCGATAGAAAGCAGTTTGCTCTCCAAGCTTTCCCCAAAGGAACAGCGAGGCATCTGCTCCACTCTTGAGCAGAGCATGTCGCAGCGTGTCCTCGACATTGACACGCAGATGGACGAGCTAACGTCCGCCATTGCCCAAACAGCTCGCAGGACTCAGCCGCAGCCAGTGGCTGCGGTCTCGCAAGTGCTGGCAGTGCACCAGGCCGCCCTTGAGTCAGCAACTCAGCAGTGTACAAAGCTGGAGCAGTCTCTCAAAAACCTACAGAGATTTGTTGCGTAAGCCGGGTGTCATATGGAAAGCAGAGGGCTGGTCTTGCTGGGCTCAGTGGGCCCAGTCACAAGTACAGAACAGTAGAACTGCTCATTCTGCAAGCATGCGTATACGTGCTGCTGTACCCATTCTATGATTCTCCAGAGGGATACACTGACTCGCAGTGGTTACCGTGCCATCATCCATGATTGCCGCAGAAAGGCACGCATGTGGAATTCTCGTAATATTAGCATCAGCATATGAAAATTTCCGAGGAAGTAGTGGTGAGCACTTAATAGCAATTTGAAAACCAAAGTACTCCGTAATGTTTTTTCTGCCACTTTGCGTATTCCCTGACGCACATGTACCCCGACGCCGAGATAGCTTTCGCTGTTCAGAGAGTACTTCAACAGAACTGCGAAAGACCCCCCAGCAAGCCGTCACTGCCAGCCTTGCGGCTTCACAAGCAAAAGAGTTCGCTATGTCCCAGGGATCACAGGTCCCAGGGCGCCCTGAGGGTCCCAAAACGCTCAGCAACCCAACCACATGAATCGGCACATCGCGCCAAGTCTCTAGCCGACACAAGGTTTGGGAGTAGCGGCCAGTATGAATTCGGTGGGTACCACAATTGGCGCCCCTCGCGAAGAGCCCAACAGCTTTGGTACGCCTGGTCGGAGTCAGTTGGCGTAATTTTGAACCAAAGGGCATCTGCTGCGTCCGCTGCGTCCACAACTCGCGTACTGGCAAACGCCTCTGGTTCCACTAGGGTGTTGCGCTGGAGTTCAAAACTGCCAAAAGCACTCTACCTGTAAGCTACTTCTTAGCATGTGTGGTGACGTCCGACCACGGTGACGCACTACTTTCGGCGGCTAGAACTGGCTGCGCCAAACCCCGCGCACGGGCGCCGGAATGTCGCAGTCAGTGCAGCCAACAAAAAGGTAACCAGATATTACTTCTGGTACTGCTTCAAAAAGTTTGAAGCAGCTATTAATCCCATTTTTCGAAACGTTTCAGGTTCTTCGCCTTCGGCATTACCATGACACGATCTGCAACTGGGGGTCCAATGACGGGGCGTTCATACGCAGCAACTTCCGATTCACCACCGGACTGTGCTAATTGACGATGCCAAGTGCAACTGACTGCTGCATGCCGAAGGTCGGCAATGTCTGCTGCTCAGGTCTTTGTGGGAGATTTGACACAAAACTGCGCAAACGCAAAACACATCACAGACACTATATCCGTAGACGTCAGCTTTCCAAGCTGCTCCGAGGCAGCCACAGTGGGTTTCTGTGCCAGCTCAGTTTGACTGTATCAAAACGCCTTACAAAAGGCAAGCAAGACAAATGGCTGCGCTGTTTCGTCCTGCAAACAGAACACCTAACACAAGCATTGCCAGGCACTCCAACAAAAAAGAGCAGCACCCACTCATAATAAATGAAAACCACAAGCACCATGGGTCTACACTATCTACACAATACCCAGCAGCAGCAAAAACTGAAGAATGACACAGCTGCAGCTGCGAGGACGACAAGCTCCTCACATCTCATCTTTCTCTTGCTGCGTCTCAAGATTAGCCTGCGCAGCAGCCTCGCCAGCACCGCGGTCAGGCGCCATCACTCTGCAAGAAGCATTTGGCAAATATCCACAAGCTACTTTGTAATGTAACTGGCAATGCAATTGAATAGTGAGGGTGCAGCACGAGATGACAACAGCGGGCAATAAAGACCCAGAAGGATACTGGAGACTCAATAGGACAGGCGACGCCCGCAAGCCAAACAAATCCATTGGTTTAGGTTCAACCTACGAGACTCCGCCAGGATTCGTTGCCATAGACGGGTTAACCATGTTGCCGTTGCCTACTGCAAGCTGATTTTTGCTAGCATCTCGACTCCGTCCCGCTGCACCAAAAAATACATTGAGTTCCAGTAGTGATTTAAAATGACCTGGCAGACAGAAAACCCCCAAGCCCAAACTCCTGAAAAACAAAAGGAAAATGTCTGAGGCTCCTGCTCACGCGCAAGCCTGTCTTGCTCTCGCCGAGACCAATGCCGTGGTTCTTGGGTGCAGTGGCCGTGAAGGCGGTCCGTCTAAAACGCAGCAAGGGGAACCAGCAACTACTCAGCATGTTAACCACCACTAAAGGGCTATGTAGATTGCTGTGAGCCGCAAAGCTCTTTGGTCGGAATGTTCACAAATATAGACATGCTTGAGGGCATGTCCAGAAGCACCGAAAAGCTTGAAGCCAGAATGTGCATCCCGATGTCACCATACCGTGCGATCTACTTTGAAACTTTGCAATACACAGCATGCAAGCCACGGGAACACGGTCCCTGCTCACCGAGTGGCCAAGTCCAGCATTGCGTGCATTCAGCTTCGGCGTCCAATCGAATGACGCATCCTGTTGCTGCAAAAAAGCACCTCAAGACAGCTGGAAGAGCCCTGATCCTCCTGTGACTGAAATTTCCCTATAATGGGCAGGCTTCAAGGAGGCACCATCACGGAAGACACGAACTATAAGTGTCCCAGGGTTAACCATGTGCTGCATACGTCAAATCCCTCTTTTATGTAGAGGTCTTTGAAGAGTCCCCGAAGATACGCATAGTCTGGTCTGTCTTCGAATCGAAGCTGCCGGCAGTAGTTGAGGTAAGTGGCAAATTCCGCTGTGCACACCAGAGAAACGGCGATCAACAACCAGGTGCAGCTCCTGCTGTCCCGAAAACAAGTTTTGCGCTACTACATTCACAGAGCGCTCATTCGCGTTCAACTAAAGATCCTACAAAGCAATATGGAAGAACATGAACGTACAGGGATATCCTTTGCAAAGAACTTCGACAGGAGTGGACATCTTCTTCTCCATGATCTTATGATACTTCTCTTGCTTCGTATTAGCCTTTATACCCTGCCAGGGTAGCGTCCCAGCTGCTCACAAATGCACAACGACTACTTGCGCATGAAAGCACGTCAGTAAAACATGCACTTGGGTCATGCAATGGTGAGAAAAAATTGGCGATATCGGTGTAAGCTCACCCCTGCAGAAGTACATAAGGACGTAGCCTACAGCCTCTAGATCATCGCGACGACTCTGTTCCGAGCCAAGATGAGCGCTTATTGAAGCATACCGGGCAGTCCCTGTCAAATTCTTGTTCTCCCGATACGGAATGTGCTGGTGCGTCTTTGGATCTCTATACTTCTTCGCCAATCCGTAATCAATCATGTATATCTGAATGCAGTGCACGAAGCCGAGGCAGCAAAGCACAAACCAGCAAGCACTTTCGACGTGGCAATCCAATTGCAAACTTCAGAAAGCTCTACGAAGTGTTGCTACAAGATACCCATGACCTCATGGTAAAGCATGCCTCACCACGCTCTGGTGAGGTCCGTTGACTCTGCCTATTAGGAAATTATCCGGCTTGATATCGCGGTGGATAAAATTCTTGCTGTGTAAGTATTCAACCCGATCCAGCTGCAAGGTTCACCCACACGCGCTCCTGCACCTTTTCTGTTGCATAGTGAAAACGGAACCTAGCAAAAGTTCGATAATCCTAGCATGCTAGCATGCGTAACTGCATCAGGCAAAACATGTCTGCGCCTTAGTGAGCAGCCAGTCAGTTCGGCGGAGGATCGTGGCTGCTTACAACTTGGTCCGCAATCATCAGAATTGTGCGCAGCGTGAACTGGCGGCTGCATAAGTTGAAGAGATCTTCAAGGCTCGGACCTAGAAGTTCCATGACCATTATGTTGAAATCTGCCTCTGCATCGCAATAGTATATCTGGGCGATTCCTGGGGCACCTTGCAAATGCTTGATTAACTTCGACTCGTAGATAAGCTGCGGATGCTTTGCCTTGGCGCTCTCTACCTTCATAGCCACCTCCTCTCCAGTCTGTACATTCACACCTGGCATAGAAACAGCAGCACCCGAGCGAGGTCCCCTCCTCTGCTACATATATGAGTAACGTGAACATACCCTCTGTGCCTGCAGCTCCATCTACCTCACTTAAACAGTCCCCGCACTGATAAACTGAAGGCAACTTCTCGGTCGGACGAATGTTACCAGCATCTTACCTTTGTAGATATCGCCAAAGGACCCTGATCCGATCTTCCGGCCCAGACGCCAGATGCCGCCAACCCTAGCATCTTTAAGGGGGTTTTGATTAGCTTTTGAACTGTCTGCATGGTGCGCCATAGTGGCGAGCTATTCATTGGTGGCTCCAATGCACCATATCAGCACTTTAGCCGACGGCAGTTCCTCCCTGAAAGCCGCACCGACGGCTTTCCCTCTCAATGTTTCCGTGATAAAAGGGGGGTAAGGAGCACAACGCCTGTAGACCCTGCAGTGTGCGTTCAACAGCGTGGTAGTCGAGCAACGACGCCGGCAAGTGCGTCTTGCTACCCAGCCTACAGCTGGAAAACTTAGGCGCCGCCAAACTGTGCGTATCTGTGGGAATATCGATGCATTAAAGCGCAGTCAGTCAGATCATGTGTCGTGATAAGAAACGCTTTGACTCCCCCACGAGATGGCGCAAAGGACACCGGCTCCTGTCTCAAGCAAGCACCCCAAATGTACTCGCCCGCCAAAACAGTCTGATTACCTAGTTGCAGAAGCAATGAGGAAAAGACTTGTTTCATTTGAAGCCAAAAGCCCGCACGGAAGTCTGGAGATGCACCAAGCCTGCGAGTTTCTCTGCCGTCACAAGCCAACGACCCCAACTACAAAAATGAAAGGTTTGGAGAAGGCAGTTGGGCGCCAGAGATAATTCTCAAGAGTTCTGCCGCGGCTGTGGGCGGCGCGTGCGAGTCGTGCCAAGCACCACTAATTCCGCACAGCGCTGCCACTGCCGCGGCCCTCCCCGCCCGTGCTTTTTACACGAGGAAAAGGATTTAGCTGTGTGATATCAGACTGACGTGCGTATATTTATGAGCAGAAAGGCTCTAAGGTCACGTAGCTGGTTGGTGTCCTGCAAGGAACAGTAACGGACTGTCATTCTTGGGGTTTCTGCTGAATCGCCAGCACAAGATTATGCAGCGATCGCAACCCCCCGAACTTCCAGAGGCTAGGCGGACGTCCTGCAGGGACAACAAAGAGGCGGCGCGTGCCACACGTATACGAGTCACTTCTTGCAAGCCCCAGGAACCTCCAAGGGGGAAGGTCCGGCACGACGCTTAGGCAGCAGCACGCTGAGGGATGGCGGTGCCCCCGTAGACCCACAGCTACTAGTATGTGACAAGAAAGAGATTAAACGTATGGAGTCACTGAGCGACGCAGACGCTGGCAAGTGGCATGCTTCTGCCGGGTCAACGAATCCACGCCCAAAACGAAGATCCGGTGAAGAGTGGCAGGACTTGGCCAGCGCCCCGGAAATCAAAAGTAGTCTGTAATTGTAGTTTAATAATGGGGATTTGTGGGAAAGGTCTCCAACCTGATACTAAAGCAAAGCCACAGGAAACTCAAAGCGGCCGGCTTGCGCGGCGAGAAGCGCCGCCTGCACATCAGCACCGCCTCATGCTGCTGGCTGCTGGCAGCTACTCAGCATGCAGACCAATCTGGTCTCTTTAATGTAAGCTGGAATGTTACTAGAAACTTGTTGTTTTCCAGTCTTTCTGCTAAACCAGATCCTTGCAAGTGGGTCCGCCCCAGACGACCTTGCAAGCCGGCCTGTACGCCTCCCCCGTTTTCGGGGAAGCTTAATGCCTGCCGCGCTAACAAGCAGTTACCTTTCATGGTTGAAAAAGCTGAAGGTAGTCGCTGGTCTCATTTGCCAGCCCACCTATGAGCACTTGGAAAAGACATAATCATGGTGTGTGCACGCATTTCGAAAATTTTTGGCTCCTGCTACTTATCTGGTGCTGCTGGAGTGGTTCTTAACCTTCCCCTCGCTCTAAAGTGAAATGCTTGGAATAGGAGCTCTTTACAATCAGCTTATGCCTTTTTTGTACACGGGGTTCTGCGAGCCATCCCCGAAAAAGCACCCGTGTTGAAAGTTGAAGGAAACAGGCCTGGAACGGCAAACTACGACTCCCAGGTGTACCTCAATTGGCTACTGTGGCGACGAACCGTGTCGCAGCTCGAAGCGTCACGCACTTTTAGCCTGAGGTCATCTATGCATACATACGGAGTACTGTGTGTTATCTCGCTGCCGCAGTCGAGTTTTGTGCGCGCATTTTTGCAGCATTAACGTAGTGCAGTAGCTTGCGGGTGCCTGTTCATCTCCAGTCCACATATCTAACTGTTGTTTAGTAAGTACACTTGTTTACTGCGCTCTATTGTCGGGATGCCCATGTGTTGCATGACTTTTTGTAGCCCTGCTGTAGAATTGTTTGGCAAGGCTTCTGCGATGTCATTTCCGTGCAGAGGAGCTAATGCAGAGCTTATTAGCTGTGGGGAAGCAGAACAAGGTGAGGTTTTTCTCCTACTGAACCCAACTCGCGCGGATTCGTCGTAGTACTATGCGAAGCTGTAACGTGCGTTCTTCCTTTTCATTATCTCCCCTTGAACTTTATTAGTGGGCAAGGTGACACTTGCTGTGCTTTTCTGCACTATGATGAATGGCTATAGGGACTGGCGTGCGCGAGATTACGTCGGGCGCGACATATGCCTTGAAACATCCCAGCGGTTATGGCGTGCTGGGAGAGTGAACGGTTGGCTCGAGGTGAAGCCCAAGAGATGATACGCTGTGCTTTCCCCAACCTGACTGGTGCAGGAGTTTGAGGTGTCTCCACACAGAGCCACTTGCCAGAGCCCCCTTTAGTTATCTCTTCCAGGGGAGTCTCCTTGGGGAAGTTCCCAGCCTTGGGCAAGAAGGGACTATTAGTGATTAGAGGAAGATGCACTCATAGGGACCTGGGAAGCTTGGGTAGTCGATGATCTATGTATTGTGGGAAGGAGACAGTATTGGTATGCCTAAAGTCGAAGCGTAGCGTAACGGAAAAGGGCGATTCTGTGACAGGGTTCGAGATGCCATCACAGGGAAACATATCGGAGTACAACTTGGTTTATTTGTGAGGGAGTGGTTGCGGTCTTATGCTACGTGACGAGCTTGAAGCCAACTGATCAAGGGGAAGGAAAGGTTGTTTTCTGCATCAAGTGGTTATGGTGGGCCTGCCTCTATATATGCGGCGTGGATACCATAGTGAATCGTTCCTCACTACTGTTTGCGGGATTAGCTTATGGATTCACAGTGCCGTGTTGCCTACGATGCACCAGATATTTGGAAATGCGCAGAAGTGAGTTGTTACACTTCCGGGTTTACTAATTTGGCGACAGGGCGCCGCTTCGTAGAGTTCACGGCTGGATGTGATCATACTTTGTTGTTCTGTGCAACCGCTGAGGAGGTATGCCGAAGCATGTCTCACAACTTCGCTATATGAAAAGATCACAGATGTTTCCACGTGCTTTATTAGAAGGCATAAGCGTGTTCTGTGCAAGCGTGAGATCGGCGGCAAATTGAGTGCCAGGCGGACTGTGCACTACGAAATCGCAAAAGCAAAAATGCACGAACTCAGCAATAATTCAACTCGTTCTTGCTTCCACTTAGCTCGTCAGATTCATTTAGCCACTGATAGAATTACACTTCCGCTCCTTGCTGTAATTTAGCCGTCCAGCTAGCTTGCGGCATTCAGAGCAGGCGAGAGGTCTCCGCACGCAGGGGATGAGGTCCCTTTTAGTGAACGCCTCAAAATGTCCAGGCGTCAAACAGAGGCAGCAAATTATTCCAACGATTTCATATAGATAAAACAACAAAGTGCTGATGAAACTTGTTTGCTGCTCGTAGCGGTGCTGGTGAGCAGAGCAGCAGGAGCTACCTGCCTTCTGTTCGGCACTGCCCTCAGCATAGCGATGTAGCGCCGACCACTGTCCGTTGCCATCACTGTGAGGATCATCACAATAAAAATTGGCATGTTTATACATTTGTGTCCATATAACTGCGTGTGACTTTGTTTCCGGGAACGGGTGGCTCTTCAAGCACTTGCTTACATTTGAAACTCACCAGCTGCCTCGAAGACCGACAGGGACTGTAGTCCCGTCTACCAGCGCATCCCTACAGCAGCACCGTGTCGGCACAGCATCCTTTGCTCCCTTATTTGCTTTCCACATGTCCTTGCATAACGACACCTTTCATATTCCTTAAATTGGAAGGGAAACAGGCTAGAGTGCTGGGCTTCTGCTGTGGGGCCGCCGTCGCTGCCACTCGTTGGAGGCAGCAGGGCTCCCCTTCCAATAGCAGTTCCTGCTGGCCGACTAACAGTGTTTTCCACTATTTGCGTTTAAAGAGGACATAGGAAGCGGTGTCTTTGACAGGAAACGGCCTAGGCACACCAGCCCGTACGAGGTTTGCATAGCTGTATTTGTCTCTTGGCGAAATATCGGGAGATTTGTCACCTGTGGCCATCCTGATTCAAGAATAAACATGGGAATACTTGGAGCATTTGTTTCCTGCGGTTGTTTGAGGGGCACAAGGGCCGCCGTAGAGCCAGCCAAACGGCACGCTGTGAGTGTTGAAGCTTGTGGAAGAAAGGTCCTTAAAAAGCCACCGACAGAGAATGCCACCAAAATTGAGCAAAACCTAAACACATGTGAAACTGGGCAGCTGGCAACTCAATCAGTGCCTCGAGAGCCCACAACCAATCCTCGGCTTAAAACCGAAGAGGAACGAGCAAATTCCACAACCAATCCTCGGCTTAAAACCGAAGAGGAACGAGCAAATTTAGCACCTGAGTTGGCTGCAACAAGTACGGGAGAAACTCAAGAGAACGGAGTACCTAAACTGCAAGTAGTCGTCACCCACCATCATAATGCAGCAGAAGAAATGCCTACTGAAGCTCCGCTTTCCTCACCGCAGCAAGTCTCCACAGGCACCCCCACAGCTTTGGAGGAAAAGTTCAAAGGTGCCTACACGGGTGGTGGCAGGACCTCTCGAGACACACCACCGGACCACGAAAGTAGAGCTTCGTCCTCTTTAGTTTCTATGACATGCTTGACGTCCACAAGCGGCGGGGACGAAGACAGTCGGATTGTTGTTTCGTCTCTGCCAGCTCCCCAAAGCTTGGGAAGCGACACAGAAAACGCTGAGCAAGAGTCAGGGGCCAAAACGGAACAGGAAGAAAGTTCGAACTGCTCTCCTACTGGTAGCGCTGCGGTCGAGGGAGAGAAGGCAGAGACAGTCCCTAATGAAGGCGGAAATGTCGGCTGTGCAAACTCATCAGCTGAAGCCAGCAAAGAAACAGACACAAAAGCTGACAATGAGACTGTGGAATTGTTGGGGAAGAAATCCATCGAAAATAAAACTTTTGACGACTTAAAACAACCACAAGATGCTAGAGAGGAACTAGAAGGGCAAGCTCGCGATGAAATGCATTCTGGGGATGGGAATGACCAGCCCCAGTGCGAACGAGAAGCGGCGCCCGCTGAGAGCAAGTATACAGTGTCATCAGCTGTAGCGGAAGATGCTACTTCCGACAGTAATGTGAATGATAGGAATTCAGGCAGCGGGGACCAGGGGGAGGACACACTGGCTTCTGAAAGCATAGAGAAAGGAAAGCCACGCACGCTCTCTTCACGGAAGTTTAAGAAGAAGAAAACGAGCAAGGCAAGGGGAAAGAGACGCCATGGGAAGACAGGCAGGCGTTAGTCGCAGGAGCTTCGAGAATCCTACGTTGCTGAACATGGCATTTGAGCCGCTGGGAGCTTGGAAAGGTCATCGCGGTGCCTTGTCAATGGCAATGGCTATCGTAGTACGCAGGTGGAGCTGCACAGCCATTAATGCCTGTGGAACGGAATATGTTTATATATTCTAAGGCGGTCTTGCATGCGTGGAACGGAATGTTCGTATTATTTTACGATGCACGTGGTGCCGTGCCCGTCCACACAGCAGATAGCCCCTGACTAGGTTTTCATCCAGTTAATGCAGCAAATTTGTATATTTGCTTACATCCATATGTACTATTTGAAAGGACTAACCGAACGGCAATTGTTGTTTGCTTCCACTTGCCAAAGCGACTTGGATAAGCACACGAACGAAGCAGTTCATAGCCGTTCTGGATAGTTCGGCCGTAGTTACGTCAGGCAAGCTCGTGTTGATTTAGGTGGATGCCCTTACGACCGCGCAACTACGTAATTGTTATTATCTTCTCGGAATGCGGTGGGCGTATGCGTAGACGCTGCTCCGTAACTATGCCATCTGCTCCTTTTGTCCACACCCAGGTGAAAACCTTAAAACCTATGACCAACTCAGTATTTCTATATACTCGTTTTTTGCCAATCAAAGAACTCTAGCTCTTCTTAAATTACTCGTTGTGCTAATGATTCTACCGGCTGCAATGCGCTACGCTGCCCCCTGCTGGCCGGACGATTGCCGTTAGCAAACTGTAATGGAGTCAGCCAGGAATGTCGGGTAGGTAAGCGGCCGTTAAGAGCAGCCCCCGCTACTCTGGCGTGCGGCATATTGAAGCACGGAGACGTGATTTGGGATCTTTGCTCAAGGTCCCCTGCGTACAACCGCGAGACGACAGTACAAACCCATTGACTACACGTACCCTCAACCCTCCAATCCAGGAGAAGTTCGCTAGGCCGCAAGCAGTGGAACCGCAAGGACCGATTGGATAAAACATTGCAACTGTTCCCTTTTGTTCCACGGAGCCACCGGGCTCCCTAAAGGCACCCTCGGCCACCTATGAAGCAGCCCCTTAGGTGGTGCTTGCGCAAAAGCGTTGTCAGTCCCCATTAACTCTGGGGCGCTGTCTGCCAAGGAAGACCGACTGAGTCGGTCTAAGATACTAACAACTGGCTCCAACAGGCTAACGGTCAATGGACGCCACCGTCTTGCGTCCCCAGACTCATGACGACAGCAGTACCGCCACTTGCCTGTGCTCGTGCCAGCGTCCCACTTCCACAAGCATGGTAGCGCATGGCTTCCACCACGGGCGGACAGCGTGAGAACTCCGAAAGCCAGAGAAAGCCGGCTGCTTTCCCGCCAGATGAAGCCACATGAATCAAGAATCAGGGGGCAGAGATATCCGTCTCAGCCTTCGCCACCTCCCAAATAGCTATCAAGCAGCTACTCAGCTTAAAGGGCAGGATATTCAAGTGGCTGTGTTGCATGTCTGCCGATACCGGACGCCACTGGGTTCTCAGAAGAGCGTGAGAAGGCGCAACCAATGCCAGCAGTATAGTTCCTCGTCATTCCGCCTTCGAAGCTTTAGAAGAGATTTCTCGGGAACGAGACTGCGCTGAGGAAACTTCTTCCGAGACCCTTGAGTGCAGATCTCTCATTTGGCCACTGAGGATGAAGTGCACGAACATCTTCACCATAAGCACAAACCTGTAAAGGCGTTCCCAAGAAGCCGCACGCATTTCCCCGTTCATTCAAAATTTTAAGCTTAGGTAAATCTCCACATGGTCTGAATGGGCCACTTCATTTTGCGTGCAACACATGCTTACCAATATATGTTCATAAGACTCAGCGTAAGTAAGATGAAAATGAAGTAGCTACTGCCTTCGGTCTCGGAATGATCTGGCCGGGTCTTGATTGCCTTATAGATTGGGAAAAGAGCGGCAGACGGGAAGGTATAGAGCCGAAAGTAAAACCAACAAACGGTTAACAGCACAAAAAGCCCAATGGTTACCTTGTGATACGGCGTGTCTACGAATGCCTTGCACCTAAGCGGACGATCTCACATAACAAAGAGAAACGTCTACATATGTGACCAAACACGGAAAGAAAAAGTCTACAGCAAAGCCACAGCTAGAATGATTTGTGACGATGGGAGCCAACAAACAAAAGAAAGACTTCGCGTACGTTCAGTCTACTCGCAACATACCCGCAAGTAAAAATGTCGCAAATGTCGTGACAAAATAAAATGACGACGCCAACCCGCAAAAAATTGCTCATGTAGGAGAAGTAAATTAGGCAAAGGGCGGCGGCACACGGCAGGAGCCGGTCAAAGAAATCGGGTAGCCAAGGCGACTTCAGGATGTAGATCAGTGACGCTAGGTGGTGCCCAAAGGCGACGTAAAAGTATAGGTGACAATATACGCTGTTCTGCTGCATTGGATATCCTGCGTTGCAGCAGTCATGCACATGCTTTGGGTGAATGCACTCTAAACAAGGACGGGAGCAGATTCGCGCAGCATTTAGAAACTTGCTTGCGTGAATGTTCTGCTGCGTAAGAGGAATCCATTAGGCTCACCCTGCCACAGCTGCTCTTCCGCACCTTCACCGCCAAGCTGTTGTGGCCACCACCGCTCATTGCGGAATGATAGGAGGCAGACAGCTGTCGTCATTAAAAAGTATAACATCTTCCAAGTCATTTCCCCAAAATGAGAGCATAGCAGCTGTCGCACCTGCTCGCTCCAGCGACTGCGAGAAAAAACCCACAACGGATGATGAACCCCAGATTTCACTCGTGAAAAATCTCGTCAGCATGCAAATTCCGGTGTATTTTGAAGTTGCGCTGCACCAAAAGCAGGCAGCTGCCATGCGAAACTAGGAAAAACACAAGCGGCACCGCATCTCGAATGATGTGGCTGTACACATTAGAACAATTAGCCTGTGTATGCAGTGCAGACCAACTCGCGGGGAAGCAGACGGTCTGCAAGAGGCTTGAGAATCCATGTGCAGAGGCCCTGAGACACACAGAAACGCTGTGGCTACTTGTTTGCAGCCGCCTAAGAGCAAGCTACTCTGTGCATGGCGATCAAAAGTTCTGGAAGTTCAAAACCCGCATAGGATTTTGTCTTATACCATCTCACTTGGAAGAGTAAGTAAATAACTGCAGCTGCGGAGCCATAAATCCGCAGATCACTCGGGTCTGGGTAGCCACCGCCCGGGACACTAAGGCGATGACGAATACTCCCAGCAACTTTAGGGTAGTGAAAAGCCGACCATCCAGCAATCACAGCCAGAAGAATGCCGAAGACACGGTCCAAACGAACCATTTTTGAGTTGCATGTGCACCTGGAGACCTGTGAAGCTGACTCCCACTCGTAGGCGCTGGAACTTTGGTACTATGTCTTCTCAGCAGGTGCTTTAAGCTTACGAAGCCGTTCCCCGCTGTCAGCTAGGACAGCTGTCACCGGTGGAATTCCCCTTCAAAACAAGCCACGTAATGGCATTCGACGGTTTAAGCTGCTGAATGGATAGCCCACTCTAAGCCAACCCCGATAGTCTTGTTGGCTGCGTCTACTCAGAGTGACGCGCGCAATGCTAAAACGTACAGTACTGATGATGAAGTGCACTTCGCCGACAGAAATATTTACGGGTCCTCCGGTTCTCCCTGGCGTGGCCCAAGGGCACTTGAGCCGCAGTCGCACAAGCAAGGGGCATGGACACGCCAAGAGTAGCAAAGAATCCACAACTACAATGAATGAAATACTCAGGGCAGCTGTCAGGTACAGAGTACATGGATCTGGACGGATTGGCCCCAGGCGCATGCTGAGTCAGCCCCACACCACCATAGGCAGCCGTTGAACAACCATCTGCAGTACGGAATCAAACGTTCGAGTGAATAGTCCCTGCGCTATTCACTTCATGATAAATTGTGCAATATGGAACACTTTGCGGGAACTCTGAGGCACCTGTATCCTTCCTCAACGCGCCAACAGGCCTACACCACACACTGTTGGATAGTGGGTTGTGGCGATTGCTCAAACAAAGTGTATGACTAATGACACTCCAGGTGGATGAATTTCAAAACAGTTTGTCTTTTCTTAAGAGGTTCGGATGGGGCATCGTGCCGAGGGGTCTGGTGCAGCTTCAGGAATCAGTCTCATGGGTGCATCTCCATACGGTGTGCTGGGCCCTCTGGAACGTTTGAGCGCGAAAGTCCCTAAATAAAAATACACATTTTAGGCAGTCTTTTTAGGTGACTGAAGTTATCTGCAATTCGAATATTGCTAAGTTCGCAACTGGAGTCTAGGGAAATTGCATTTGTTAAGTTGACGTGTGGCAGCGCCCGAGCGTGCTTAGCCAAATGCATGCGTCGTGCCTCGCAAACTTTTATCCAGCCTGCTCCAATATTATTGGAAGCTTGCTGATTGGCTGGGAATACCTTCCCGTCCGACGCCAAAGCAATTCACCTCCCGGAATGGGCTTTTCTTCGTCTTACAAGCTTGATACCTGCAACTAATCGAGTGGCATGCGGTGTTACTAGAAGTGTGTGGTTAAATATTCATGTATGTTCCGCATGATCCTGTAGCTAGTGCCGCTCAAAAGTCGCAACATAAGCTCAAGGGAGAAGGAGCAGTCGGAAGCCTGTAGTTTCCGCCGGCCACCGAGCCTCTCTAGTTTACCTGCCTCCACCCGTAATTCGTTAGCTGCATTTCTTGTCTATATGTAAGAACTAGTGGAGAAACATTTTCAGTGCCTTCTATTTGGTGACGGCCGGGTTGTTGGCAGATCAAGTGTAGAAGAAACGCATTATCTCTGAAAGAACGGGCACAGCATACTGGAGCAGCGGTTGCAGCTAGTGATTTCAAAACACAGCCAAAAACTTGTCATAAATACTCTCACACAATTACCTGCACCCAATTCCTATTAGCAGCCTTGCAAAATATCCAGTCACCATTGAAATACTTAGCTTTTCTCCCAAGGTAGGAGGGGAACACAATGCTTGGGATGCGAATTTCTGTGTATATTGGCGCGCTATTGTAGGCAGACGCCGACATTGTTGCACTATCCTTGTGCAAAGAGTACCAGGGAAGAGCATCCCATGCTTTAAGGCTACATTGGAGGAGTGAACAGACAGTTACTACTACTGAGCATTCTACGGTTGGCTACTGAAGCTTCAATAATCCTCGCTAGCATTCTTTAATTGAAGAGTTGAGTGTTTTGGTTCCTCGAGTATTTGAACTGCGTCATTCAATGCGCATTCAGGCGGATCAGCAAACCAGCAAATCACGTCAATACGATAGAACGTCGAAGCTAAGCAACAATGCGCGCGGGTGTGCACGATGTTTGTTGAAGCACCGTTCACTGAATGCATCCTATGGAGAAGGTTATTCAAATGAGATGTGGCTGCACAGCCTCGGCTAAGATTAAGGGGCGAAAGAATGAGCCGTCCCTTCGTCACTCTACAGGCTACCGCCGTAGTTATCTTCGCCTACAGCGTATCCCCTACCTTATCACTAGAAGGAGCCCTTGTTATTGGGGTGTTTGAGTGTCTGAATCCCTAAAATTTTGCTGGTTGAGGAAATACGCATCACGAACGCAGGGTGCACCATGCATTTGGAGAAATACGATCGTGAACTGCCACCACAAAATGTCAGCGAAGCAGAATGCTACTTAACGTGTAGTGTTGCAGGTGCGTTTCGCTGAGCACGCGCCTGTCACAGTAAGTTTTCAGTCTGCCCAGGATCAATGACGCTATGCTGCTAAACGAAGTAATCGGCCCTGCTCTGTCATGTAGTGTATCAGTCCACATAAAGGGGCTGGGAATACCAACAAACTTTCAAGTATTTTAGACAGAAATATTTTCTGTTTTTGAAGCAGAAAGTTACGGCAATAATATCTATGGAAAGCCGATGATCTCGCTAAGCGAGTGTTGCTGGGTAGGGTCACACCACTGGAGACCTTCGGCGGCTACCACAGCCCCTGAGAAGTCCTTACGAATATCCCCTTCTCAAAAAACACGTAGTGTGATGATTCTTTGGGCTGAGAAATGCAATGCTTTTTGATTGGCTCCTAATAGTTGGCTCAGTGTGGTACGTTTTGTTGGTGCGTTTCACGCTGCAGGGACACTGTCCACCACAGGGTTCCTCCCCTACGCTCCACACACCCAAGTTTTTCACTGAATGTTATCCTCTTCAAATCGGCATGGAAACACTGGGAGCATCTTGACAAAATTTGCGTGCCTCCTACCTTCTGATTCAACCCGTTCAACTCCCCGGCAGGCTTTTGTCCGAGTTTCTTTGTCGGTCATTTTGACTGCCTGGTTGCTGTTTCTTCTACACAAGGGCAGCTTGGATTAAAATAGTACAGCGGACTGCTGCAACGCTAAGCGAGAGCCTTCAAGAGAAGCATGTGACCTTCAGAGTGAAAGTTCAGTGCACAGGTGAACACTCAGTGGCGAATCGTATCCACTGCATTACTTTCTTTCCTCTCTATTCCATCTTACTCAAGCCTTATGCTTGGTAGAGCTGCTATGCTGAGCTGAAAGTGTGGCATATGCTCGGATTCTGGCCTTCTCTGGTGCGAAGTTCTCCAAAAAGAATTTTTCAGTCAATGATGAGGAGCGTGTTGGACAAGCTACTTCCGGATGGAAAAGACGGTCGAACCAATGCACCTCAGAAAGCAGCAGGTGCATTGGCGAGAAAACTGAAACCAGCTGTTCCTTTATTTGAACAGACTGAGAATGACGTTTCCGATGAAGGTATCTGCCCAAGAATTGTGACAAATCAGGTCTGCCGCCGCTCGGATGACCACTGCAGTTGCATGGATCAACTGCGCAGCTGCACGGTGCGTCAATGCACACGGAAAGCTTCAAAAGACACACACGACAAATGGGGAGGCATCTGCAGCCGGTGTGGGTTTAGCCATAAATGCAGCGGCTGGCACTATACCTTCGTCTGCAGCCACGGTGAGGCAGATGCTGTGCGCTTGAAAAGACTTTCGTGCTAGAGAGTCCACTAACACAGGAGGGAAAGAACAGGCCAATTTTTCTCCAAAGGGAGCAATATCTGGCTGAAAATGTCTACGATAAGCTTCGACACGGGCCACGAAGTCCTGTGAGCCAGATAGGTAAGTCAACTGCCACCGGATCCCCCGCAAAGAATCATCAGCCGGCAGCACCTCAGCCGATCTCTAGTGATCATGCCTCACACAGCAATCAGCGAAAGATGGCTTTTCTGAGGGGTGGCCTACAACATCACGGGAAGTGCCATGTGAAACCTGTTCTCCTCTTTCCAGGCAAAGAATCACGAATGAAAGCTCGCAATGACACTGGTGCGCCTCCAGTGTTCTTTTGACACACGTACACTCCCTGCAGCTTAGCATTTTATTCATGTCGTGTGCTGTAGTGCTGGACTCACGAAGGCTTCGAATTTGCTCACGCTAAATGCGCCATAACAGGACACCCTGAAAGATGGGAAGAGATATACAGCGACGAGACTGGACAAACAAAAGGGTACATACCTAAGGAACAACGAATTGGAGCAGCTCCGAAAAAATTTCACTTTGGACAGGAGACCAAACAAACATCTGGGAGCGATGATGGAGGGAGTTCGCCCTCTGCTGGGTTTGAGTTTGTTGCTGATCCCCCACGGTGCAAGGCACGACGGCTGCTGCGGCTTTCCCATGAGCAGCAAATGAGGGGATGGCGGTGGAGGTACGCAGGTCTCAAATCCGCTTTGCGATGGAATGGGAGCAAGAGCAGCACCGTTTCAACGGCAAAAGGGGCAGCTGGTGCAGCATTTGCTGCCGCAGGTGAGAGAAACATTTGTAGAGGTAATGCTGTAGTGCGACTCATGGGCTCGGCTATTTTGCCCAGCATGCTTTTGGGGAACTTCAAGGGCGGCTGTGTCTACAGTTGGGGCTAACCCAGTTACGGAGGCAACACCTGCTGTACGTAGCGGTTGGTGCGGACAATGGCAGCTCACTCCCCTTGATTCGCTGAATGGCTTCCTGGGTAGCTGCAGCTGCGAATACCAAAGAAGCTGGAGTTTCCCTTCTTCACCTGCATCATCAGCCAGCTCAAACAGAGACGTCTCAGGTCAATCACTGGAAGAGAAGCCTCAGTCGTATTTTCACAAAACATGCGCCGATGCTGGTGATGCTTTGAAGCACCACAGCAGTACCCCACAGAAAACAGCAACTCTTCGTCAGAAGACTATGACGCTGTTTCCATACCACCCATATGCAGCTTTTGAGGTGCGCTAAGTTCTCCATAATATTTTCAGTGCACAGATACCTGCTGCTGAGGCACGCGTCTGTCTGCGCATGTCTCATTCTAGCCGGCTTAATGCTTGACCGGCACTTCCGGATTGCCACGCACGTTGCCCTTCGTGACTTTGAATTATTCTGTCTCTTGTCTTGGCCTAAGCCCTTGTCAAAGTGAAAGTGCCGTGCTTTCTTGCTAATGCTGCGTTCTGCTGAGGCGCAGACTTCACGCTCAGTTACAGAGAGCGCCGATCCACCAGGGCGCGCAATTTTCCGCACATCTGCAGAGCAACTTCACGTCTTCTGCACCGTGTCAGCTTGTATTCATTTATTTCGACATAGTCTCGTAACCGCGCAGCTAATTTGTTCGTTGCCTTCTCATCTCTGGCGGAGTCATCGCGCGAGTGCTGCGTGTAACTAGCCCGACAATTTGCTGGGCCGGCTTGTAAACGAAGCACGGCATACAATGAGTTCTGTGACCCTTAACTGCATAAAGAATATTTGTACATGTCGCAAATTTCGACGCGCCACGTCGTGCCCTTGCGCCCGTCTGTTTGAAGACGTAGCACCCTGTTCACAAGCGAGCGTACTTGTGCGGTGTTCTGTCATTGCCTTTCAGGGACACCTTTCCCTTTGCAGCCTCCACCGTTTGTCTCATTGATGCACCGTTAACTGTGGCATGGTGTCTAATGCATCAACATGCATTGTAGGCCAAACGGCTCAGTGACCGTCCTCATGCCACGATACACTGACGCGTGCAGACCTGCGGCGCTCGAAGAGTCACAGTGCTGCAGCCCACCAGCTTGAAAAATCAGAAGCAATGGCTCACGCATCTGGTTGCTTAATAACTGCTCTCTCAATCCCGTCGGCAACGCAGCACTTTTACCCCATGTGCCAACTGTTTTGTTTGACGCACTGTTGACTCTGTGGGTCAGGCGCAGCAGCAGTTGGAAAATCAATGCCGCTGCAAGTTCCAGAGAAAAGGCATCAGCTTGAATATTCTCGTCACGGCCCTTTCTGGGATGGAAGCGGAAAGAGTATGCACACATATTTTTTCTGATGTGAGCTACAATGTTGCCGCTTGTCCTTCTTCATTTTGCTTCTTTCCATCAAGCGTAAATAGCTCCCCCACGTAATACAGCCATCTGCAGTCATTCACGAGGTTCCTTCACACTTGAAAAATTTGCTGTCTGGTAGGCATTGCGCTTGCTTCGGCTGCTTGTTTCGGCTCAGTGGGAGGAAGTCCGTCGCCAGCGTGTATCTTGCGGGGTGGAATTTATTTTCCGGCCCCCAAAAACTGTTCGTTTCGCCGAAGATACGCTTTTTTGGTGAATTGCATTCACCTGAAATCGTGGCTGTGCCTGCTCGCGGTCGTGTGGAAATTCACCACTCGCGATTGTATATTGTGAGTTTATTGGGGCTCTTGCAGTGCCCGTTATTGCTGTCACTAGTCTTTCTTCCGCTCTGACTCATTGCGAGCTTCGCTTTCTGGAAGAATGGGGAAGAGGCAAAGCCCTGCAGCAAGGGGAAGCCGAACGAAGGGTGCGTTGCCATGCAGGCGTCGCCCAAAATTTTCCCGCGATTTGATGCTGCAGTAAGTCACATGTACTTTTGCATCAAAGTAAATCAAACAGAGTAAGCTGGTAGACTACTGGAATTTGGTTTCTCAAAAGCAACTAAACTGTTTAGTGGATGAGATGTGTGCCTCAGGTCCACGTTTGTCTTTCCCTCATCCCACGCTCTGCCTTACCTCTCTCAGCTGGGCTTTTGGCATTGTTGAAGTGCCTCCATGCTGTGACCTGCCTGCTTCCCCTTATCGTTGTGCAACAAAGCGCATCTCAAGAACAAATAATGCGCGAGTAAGGCCGCATCTGCGCTACCAGCAGAGCTGGATCCAACCAACCAATGTCTCTAAGGCTTAAAGGGTCGGTGCCTCTCCCCACAGTCTAAGTTGTGCGAAAAGCTATGCTTTTTTATGCAGTAGATGGATCCTTGGCCTTCAACTTGCAGCGTGTGACTTGGTAACTCAAGACGGCATGCTGCTTCCACTGCGTTCAGTTGCACATGAACTTGACGCTCGCACCGACTTCCAGCGACGAGCACAGGATGAGCAAATGATGTATTCCGGTCCCCTAGAGCGTGAAGAGGAACGTTACATTCTATGCAGGTTCCTCTGCTTCGCAGTGAAAGGCAGCTCTTAGGAGTGCCCAGACGCCTTGAGCTCGTCTATCCTGCAACAGAAAGCTTTCGAGGCGGATGGCGATGGCAAAAGAGAAAACAGCCAGTGTGAGAACAGTACGCAAAAACAAGTTTTTCTTGATGGATGCGAGGAGAGTCCTGTAAGAGACATGTTGGAAAGGCAGCCACAAACAGGGGGCCCGAAAAGTTCCAGCAGAAGGGGCTTCGAAGGTGGCTCACATTGCCTCAGTGCCGTACAACTTCCACTTGTGTTGAAACTGCCAGCGAGTAGCGGCATGGATAAGGAGTTGCCTCCATGCGCTTGCTGCGAGGAAAGTGACAGAGGGAGCACATCCGTTGCGACACCTTTGGCCCTGCGGCGAAAGTCGGCAGAAGCATTTGCATTGTTGCTGCGCCGGAGGGCAGAATATAACTGCTTCTTGCCATTCCTGTTCCAGCAGCAGATACATTCAAATCGACCACGGAAGCTATATTTATTGCAGCAGTGGGAGGATGAGGAGTTGCAGCAAGGAGAGCAGCAACAACACGTGGAAGCTCTTGTTGGCCTGCGTCTATTGCAGACCAACAGCCAGCCGTACACCGGCAACAATGTACGCACGCAAAGGCACCTCGACAAACTACGAGAGCATTTGCACAAAATGAATCATCAGCTACTTCAGCTACAGGAGAAGAGATTTTTACATAGGCTGCTGAGCAAACAAGAACTGACACTCCACCCCTTGCTTCGACCACATCGAAGCATGCTACTGTTGGACAATGTCACAGAATGCGGCAAAAGGAGGGAACTGCTGTCGCAAGTGGCTCAAATTGGCCTACTGGTTGCACTAATGATGGGAACGGGTGCTCTCTTGCTCAATAGTGTGGCGCGAGGGGACCACTGACGGACCAAACCCATCGAAGCGCTCCCCAGCCAGCCACTCTGTAACTTTTGTTTTCAGCGGATGAATGAGCCAGGATCAGCAGTATAAGCACGTCAGTTGGCATGTAGTGCCTTGCATCTAATTGTGAGATTTATTAATAACAAGCCACAGAAAACACGAAGTTGTGTGCAGAGATAATACATGGTCAACCAAACACCCAGCATTTAACGAGAATAGCCATACACTGTAGGTTTGTCATCTTGTTTTACTGCAAAGAAAGCTGCTTTTTCTCCTAAGCCCTCTTGCAGTGAAACTGAAAATGGTTAACACTAATCGCTTTAACTCATCGGCTTCTGTGTAAACAACAGTAGGCTGCTGCTAAACAACAGTAGGCTGCTGCTTTCATTTGAAGATAGTGGCTAGTATGGAGGATCTGGCGACTGCTAAACTGTGCTGCGTACTGGGCAACACAGAGTCCCGTGCAACAGTCCTGTTCAACACGCGCCTGAGCAGAAGCTGCTCAAGCGCTTGCAATAGCAAACAGAGCTATTCACGGTATACAGTACGGAAAGCGTTTTGAACGAGTTTTTCTAGGCCAAACAAATACAAACTTTGACAGCAATGGGAGTAGGCCGCAGAACAACGCAGCCGTCAGGGGCACCCAGCACTCAGTTGAGCGTCTCAGTCCCGCCCCTTCTAGACTCCTGTCGAGTTGCCTCGTCTGTGTAGGATGTAACTATGCCACAAAGTCTCGTGACTGCGTCTTGCATAACACCCAAAAGGTTAAGGCTAGAATGGTCGACGAGATGGCAACCCAACATCCTCTGACCCAAACTCCCTGACGCTGGAAACAATATCCAGCGCACTCCTTATCGACCTGCGACAATACTGAGGACAACAAACTGATCTTCGCAATTAAGAGCAGTACATGATTCTCGAGAAAATAAGAACCACTGAAGGAAACATAACGACAATCGAAAATTTCAAGTGCTGCTGGTACCGAACTCCATGTGCCTCTGGGTGGGAGGGGCTACGGAAGCTGCAGGGGCCGAATCAGAGAAGGCACTCTCAGGCACCTTGGATGCTGGATCGAGGTAATATGCAACAAATCACTAAGCAACGGATGCGAGCTCGTTGAATTAATTTTAACAGGCGCCTACACAAAAATGAAGATGCTTCACTGAGCCACTCACTTCAACAATTGCTTGCACTGCTGTCGTTTCGCACTAATATCCCCAGCCTCCTTCATAAGCTCTCCGAAAAGCTCTGCAAAGTAGCACATGCAAGGCTAAGCACATGCATTGCGCGCATTCATGCGCAACCGCTTGAACATGGCCAAGCAAATCAACACGTAAGGATGTGGATTTGCATTCAAAAGGCAAAGAACTTGGGGAAGCACACCAGCCTAACCTTCTCTATAAAGCTGAGCTACCAGCTCTCTCTGCAGCACATCCTTCGCGGTGTTTACCATAAAGTACATGATTGCTTTTGGTACTGCGTCTGCAACATTTTTCCTGCGAGACAGACAAGGAAACAGGACAAGCCTTGAGATCATCATATACGGTGCAAATCCACCCGTGAACTTGAGAGCAATGACACTCCAGTACACTTACTTGAGCAACAAGCCTGCGCTACAAGCTTGAAGAGTGAGATATCTGCACCTCTATTGCGCACAAAAGTTTGAACACAAGCTTAGCCTGAATTAGTCTCAGTGAATAACAGGCACTCTAACAGCCACAGATCTCTGAAGAATGCGCTTTGGCACAATATATCTGCACATTTATTGTAAATAGGAGTGTGAACACAAGCTTGGCCCGAATTTGTCTCACTGACCGGCAGGCCTCTAACAGCTGCGCTGTGCATGGGCTTCCGGATACAACGAGCAGCCACAGATATCTAGAACATCCACCTTGACACAATATATGTGCACCTTCATTGTGCACAAAAGCATGAACGCAAGCTCAGCCTCAACCAGTCTCATTGACTGACAGGCCCTCTACCAGCTGCCCTGTGAATGGGCTTTCGAATACAAAGCGCGGCATAGATATCTAAAACATGCACTTTCATGCAATTGGGAGAAACAAGAAAGCCTGCAAAACTGTACACGTGAAATTTGGATGCACATTCTCACACTAAACGTCACTTTAAACGGAGGATGAGCTGCTCAATGTCATGTAATGACATCGACGCACCTAACAATTTGGAAGTATGACCACAACAGAGACTTGATAAGCTCTGTTTCAATTTGTTCCCGGTCAGATGGGGTGTCTGATGGAGCGACAACGGGCGGAACAGCGGGCATGCGAATACCTCCACCTCCCTGGAATGAAGAGAAAGCCACACACTATGACTGTCCTGTGGGAAACTCTGTCTGGCAGTGCTATACTGCATTTGCGGGCAGATTATTAGTGCAGGCACTCGCTCAATGTTAAGCTCTAGATGTCAAAGTATATCTTTGATGCTTTTAAGCAAAGCTAAAAGGGAGTCTGGCACTGATATACTGCATTTGCGGGCAGATTATTAGTGCAGGCACTCGCTCAATGGTAAGCTCTAGATTTCAAAAAGTATCTTTGGTGCTTTGAAGCAAAGCTAAAAGGGAGAAGACAGGCAATAGAATGCGCGAGAAAAAAGGGCACGGTGCAGCTACTTACCCGAAGCTTGTCAAACGTGGCAGTAAGACGAGCTGCAATTCGACACAAAACATGCATTGGGAGAGCCGCATCTTCCGTAAGCAAAGAACAAGAATGACACCACCTCAATAAACGCCGCTGTCAAAGCAGGAGGCGCCTGCCTCTGGTCCCAAAATACAGAAACTCGCAAGTGCTAAGCAAATGTGTGCGTCGACTTCTAGTGCTCACACTCTGCCGTGAATCTCTCAGCTGTATTAGCCATGTCCGAGCGCTGTGGATGAGGTTGCTGCATGCTTGGCTGTAGCATCTGCTGCGGCTGCTGTGGAGCCGGCTGCACCATATTGGCAGCATTGTGCCTGCCCCCGTGAGGAGACGGTCTGGAATTTTTTAAAAAGCTGAAGAAGCCACCTTGTTGTAACACACCTCCAACGCCCTACAAAACGTCACACGCCGCCATTTACGTTAATACTCTTCAAAGCCTGTTGAATATAACTGTGTCAACCTATACGCGAGACAACCAGGGTCATGTGTGGAGGCACGAAAACAGAAGGGGAACATACAAACTCTCCCCGAGGTGATGGCGGTAGGTCTTTATCTGCAGGTGCTGCGGGCTTTCCACTTGGCTGCTGCTGATGCTGTGGAGGCTGTAAAGAGCTCCCAAGACCCGGCGCTGCAACCACGTAGAAATCATGTCTCCACAAAAGGGTATATGCTTTTATCAGCCACTGTTCATTTGCAGGACTCTAAACAAAAAATTCGTTGCGAATTTCTGTCTCTTCAGCCATGAGCAGAACACGATTCATGCAGCACGGAGAATACGTCCAATTGTCCTACAACATGAGTCGCGTCTCCCACTGGCGTTATCGCCAAAGAGGCCCGGAAGAGCTTTGTTGCTCATAAAATCCGGATGGTTGGTATTTATGTACGCAAGCTCGATCTGCACAGTAAGCCACAAAAAGCACGGCTTTAACGTACCTACCACATTAAATTGCCTGTGGCTGCACGGCCTAAGCACGAACTCACTTGGATTATATTATGAATCATTTGGTTTGTTGGCGCAAGGCATCTCTTCAAAACGCCACAAACAACTTCCAAAATGCGGTCTCTTAAATTCGTGAATCTTGACATTTCCGGTAGTTCAGATTTTTCGACTATCTTCTGCAGCTCATCGTACACCTGAGAAGGCACCATCATTCTCCAAAACCTGCTGCACAGCTCCACTTCGAGTGAAACATAAAGCTGGTGCCTGCTGCTGCTGCTTTAGTACAGACAGGAGAGGATGTCGTACTTGCTCCACACAAAGCAAAGAAGGGCTTTCCAATTGCTGGATTTGTTTCTTCACGAGAATTTCAAATGCGCTTTCCGGTACAAAGAGGGCAGCTTTGGGCCCTGTCGCATTTCTGGTGGAAGACATAAAGAATCACGCAAGACACTGCTGGCCACAGTACGATGAGTCAAAAGTTCTGTGTTCCATGTCCCCAAAGGTCAAAAAACAATTCCACGCTATTTTGCGCACGGTCCCATGTATAAGTCTACTGTCTGCTGAGGGCTTGATGATTTCGACACCCACAGAAACTGCTAACCACGAAGTGCTCTAAATGGCTCCAGAAGTTCGACTCACGCAACCTACTCTTTAGGAAACGTAAATGCGAGAGCAAGAGCCCTTACCGTATGGCTGTGCGGATTTCATGGTCTGTTAGGCCACTAAGCGGGTCGAATTCGGCCAGAGCCCGACCGTACCAATCATGGAAGATAAAATTGATACGAGCACCGCCCATCAAGTGATCCGACGAATGCTGAGACTGGAGCTTTCCATCAATCGCATCCTGAGGAAGCAGTAAATGGCCAAGAAAAAACCCGACATTGACATGGGTAATCGTCTGCTCATCGAAAATGTCTCTCACCGATCTTCCTATTCACCCTCCACCCCACGCAGGAAACTCCCGGGAAGCGGAAAAAGAATACTCCACCTGGAAATTACGTGCAAACTTTGAAAAGAAGTGCAAGAGCAAAGCCCCAGCATTTCCCTTGACTTCCAGCAGTGGATCTCCGTAGCCCGCCAGTTCCGCTTCTGCCTCCTGGAGTCTCTTCTGCAGCCGCTCGCGCAATTCTGGCAACGACTCTCTGATGTGCTGCATTAGCACCTGAAGCAAAACGAAAAAAACCCGGAGCAAATACGCTTCGATGGCAAAAACTGCGACGGCAGCAGCCGCATGAATTGCTGGGTCGTGGAACACGCAAAACCGCCGAACAAACAACGATGGAGCCTGCACCGGGGAGACAACGCGAGGTTGGGTTCGTGGACATTCCTGATTCAGCATCTTCGCAAGGTATCGAGTGCCACAACGAGTCCCCAGGACCCTGTAAGCTGGATGGTTCTGGAAAAACTTTGCCTCCTCTTCCTGTACTGCTCTGGGAGAAAGCTGTTCACGCGTCTGGGCGAGGCTTCTACACACTACACCAACAAACCTGAGCTCAAAACAGATAATATGGAGGCAACAGGACAGCAGAACAGCACCAGCACTTTTGTTCTGCCAGGAACCGTTTGCGCAGACTCACTGGCGGAATAAGATTCGGCGTCAGCGGCAAGAAGTAAGAACAATAAGAGTTTTGCATAGACTCTTATTGCGCTTACCCCCGTCTTAAGGGATATACTTTCCCTAGGAGAACGTCAGCACAATCAGAGCCCTCCTCCATGGTGTCAACCTTGGTAACGACACCGATTGTCCTAATGCCCTCCGGGTCTGCCTCACGGGCGATCTTGAGACTACAAATATGCACAAAGCAGATCGCGAAAAACCTCATCAGATTGAAAAGGTGTGAGCGACGCAGACTAGTAATCGAAAGCTTCAGTGCAATCGCCCAAACAACCCACAAAACCTGCAGCTATCTACCAACCGACGCAGCAACATGTGGTGTGCAATGAAGGGTCACCAGAGTATAAACCCAAAAACAGTGAGATGCTCTACACAACGGTAACAAGAGCGAACGACGAAGGCATTCAGCGAAGGAAGCCAGTAGAAGCAAACAAAGTACAGCAAAAAGAAATGTTGCACGTGAAAAGTATCACCAACCTGTCAGAGTTGGCGATGTCGGTATTTGCCGCAGTGATGGCAAGGATCACACAGGAAGGTTGACTTATATATTGCAGGACTATCTTGCGGATTTGCAGCTGCATAAAAAACAAAAGGCTCCGCCCGTCCTGCATGGAGAAGCTCCGAAACAGAGAGTTCTGGAGGCGCCAGAAAAATCTATTTGTGCGTAGCTATTCCCATTTCAAGGATTCGGCACGTGAGAAAACGCATGCCCCACAGCGAGAGACATGCAAGGCAGAAAGACGCCATGGATGGAGGACTTGTTACCTCGATATCCGAAGGCTGATCCCCAACTGGCACTTTTGTAATACCTGGTAAGTCTACCAGAGTCAAGTCAATAACGTTCGGAGAGAAAATCTTGAGGCAAATAGGAATAGGCGAGATGTTCTTGGAACGCCCTGTCACCCTTTCTGTCTCCCTTTCTATTTCCCTCCTGATCTGAGCGAAGTCTGTAAAGCGATGTCCAGGAGAGTGACTAAATTCTCCCCATTCCGCCGACCCAGCTGTATGCTGGAGCTGCAGCATAGGCGCCGCAAAAGACGCACACGAAATATTCTTCTAGACAATTATGCCCAAGTAAGTCTTTCGTTAGTTCAGTGAGGCGCAAGAAGAACCGAAACGAATGTTTTGTACACGTACGCAAGAATTTGCGTACAGCCAATGACGAACTCCTACCTGAAGAATTAGTGGCCGCCTGGTGACAATACCGGCGCCTCGGGGAAGGAAGTCCTTGCCAATCACTGCCTCTAGGACTGAAGACTTCCCCACGGACTGCGCTCCTACGACAGCTATCTGCGGCAGATCAAACGTTGTGCCATCTGCACTCCCCAGTGTGAGGAGCGCGTCCTGTAGGCGATTCATAATGGGGATTAGCTGCTCCATTGCGACGTCCCAGTAGACAAGTTACGTGCCTCACAGGCCAGGCAGCTAGCTGCATCGCCGAGCCGCGGAATGCTACCTATTGGAAAGTGGCCGACTGGCCAACTCCAGTTTGCCGAAGTGCTGCTGCGAGGGTCGCCCGAATCCTCAAGAGGCGTGAATTAGCCCCGCAGCCCACTAGCTCGGGATGCGCACTGCCAACGATACATCTGCAGGCTACTGCGTAAGCGCGTACGCCAGTGAATCCCTGAAGCATCTACCAATAGAGGGGTCGGGCCCACACTGTATAGTTAGTGGCACAGTTGAGCGGTCCACCAAGGGCAGCCACTAAGTCTGCCAAAATCAAAGATACGCAAGACACGTGCCAAGTCACCTTGTGAAGGGGGCTCGCCTCTGCTAAACAGGCAAGGTAGATCGACGGTAAATCAAAGATCTTAGAAAACGCCTCTGCAGCATCACCTAATACGCTGAAGGCTCCATCCACGAACTTGAGAAGCCATGCCACGCATGCAACACCAGTCCGTGCTGTTCCAAAGGAGACCATTCACCCGAGACGCCGCATATGATTCTTTTGTTTAACTGACTAAGCTCAGACAGGAATCTAGCCGGACACTGCAAAAGCTACGGGTAGGGGGGTTCGGGTCGCTGCCGACTTAGAGGATCACAGCCCCGTCTGAAGTAATGATGCGTAACACGAATCCCCTACATGATTAGGACTACAGGCAATGAATTGGAGAACCTAAACAAAAGTCTATGTGGTAGTACCAATGCTGCTCAACAGAAGTGTGCGGGAAGTGCTGGTCCGCAACACAAACGCAACCTCGTAATGGTACCACCAGAGCATTGCAACAGAGGGGAAGCTCGCTCACTTTGCGGCCAAAGAGCATATTGAAGCCTACTACTGAGCATTTCATTGATTTAAGCACCGCCTATCTCTCGTTTGGGGCAGAGTCCACACGTTGCCAGGCAACCCCTCAGGACTCACATACAGTGCTCGGCGAACAGGAACATTCGTCCCAAGTGCGTAATCGCAACAAAGCGCCCAGTATGAACAGCAGCTGCTACTTGGGATGAAAGTTAAGCAAACCCCTCTACTTTAACTGTCACGCCAACTCACATGAGCAGCGCTGTTGAGCGTTGTTGTAAGACAACAATGCCAAGGCGAAAACCACGCCCCAGTCAACGGGAATTCGCCGCACGCAAACGCTAAGCAATTGTGCAGGCAACCTGGCTGCATGAGCTCGCTTCAGAAACGCCGGATGACCGCTGTAAACTGCTCCCTACCCTTCATGATGAACACAACTACATAACTACATTAACCTACTAACAGAGCCCTGCACTATCGGCCGCTACGCAACAGGTGCGATTCTACGAGTTCTCCGCAAAGTAAACAACCATGCTCAAAGCTGCCCACGCAGCAAGACGTCCGCCGCTGTCGGTGTAGCATGGGTATGCATGGGCGCACACGGGTCACCCGCTCAACCACCTATATAGGGTGAAAACAGCATATGTGAAGATGGCGATGAAGGGGCGATGAAATATCTACACCAAAAGCGACAAAGCAATACAGAAGGCGGTCGTCTGTATAGTGGTTCTTTGCTTTTCTCATTACTCGTATCAATTCAATGGGCAACCTGCCTACTGCAACTGCGGCAAGCGCAGCGGCCCCACCCATGTGTTCCCGACATGACGCAAACGACGCCAGAGTCTACTCGGCAAGTAATGAGAAAAACGATGCCCACTTATCCAAGTTCTGTACAACCAATGAAGGCCCGAAGTTGCAGGCCCAAACAAAACGCAAACGTGCTACCCCAAAAGAAAGGAGGGCCGCAAGCGCGCAGAGTCTTCCCTATCAAGACTGCCGTCTTTCGACGAGATATCCCTACGAGCGTACAAATCCTCGGCAACTGGAGCTTCTCGGTGAAGTACGAATGTCCCGTGAGACATCCTGTGCCTGGTTCCCTCTGGTCACACTTCTTGCGCACTAGAAGACAGATATACCATCCGTGCACGAGTCCACCTATGTGCCTGCCAGAATCTCAGTTACTGCCCAGCTGGTAATGCAGTAGTGCGAGCTCTGCCTTGAACAGCTCCACACCCGAAATGACCAGCATCGCAAAGGTTCCACTGTTGCATTGTCCGTACTTGTCACAGTTAGGCCCTTGCCTGCGCTGGTTGCGCAAAGCCAGCTGGTCCAGACTCCTTCGGAGAACATCTTGATTGCGAACAATTCAGCTGCTTGCGGTTGAATCTCAGAAGAGCCTTGAACTTTTCGAGCATCATCCGCGTGTTTTCCCCGTAAACAGATTCGATATCATCGTGTTTTCCACCCTCTATGCCACCGTCATCATAGTCCGTCAAGTCGCTCCCATCCGTCAGATAAAATCCAGCATGCGAACTACGCACACAGCAGAAAAAGTGCGCAAACAGCCGATACGCCTTCACAGCAAAAAAGACGCTGTGAGCCACAGCACGTCTCGGACCAAAGAAACAACCATACGCAAAACAGAACCCACCTGTCTGGGCACTCAACTATAGGGCAGCAATCGTCGCCGCAATACTTCGTATTCGTCTGTTCAAGCTCTGCACGAGCCGCTGCGATTCGTGCTTTTGCCTCTGAGGCATCTAGAGCCTCTTTCCTGTATTTTTTCTTTGTGCGCGATTGCCAACTTCCTGATTTCGTTTCTTTAATCGTGCGACTTTGCCGGCGATTCCGATGCTGTTGTTGTAGCTTTTCTAGTGCATCAGCAGAGCCACCGTGCGTCTGCTGCTTCTGCTCTTGCCTGTCTTTTGTGCATGGGTGGCGCCGCAGCCCAAACTGAACAACGGACTGCGCTGCTCGCATGCCAGTGTCAAACCTAAAAACATGACCACAGGCAGACTCTCACCACTTCCCAAAAAAGCCATCACTCCTGCCCGCCCACCGCAGCCAGAATGCAATCGTTTCTACCGCTCCGCAGCTGTGGACACGTCACCAGCATTAGTAAAATCCGCCTATATCACTGCACGGTGCAGCGAGAATGCCACAGCAGACCTACGCTCCGTCTACACACTGGTTATAAGAGTCCGAACAGAATTCCCCCGCAAACGCTACACGGGGAGCTCCTAGAGGATGTGGCGCCCTCAGCCACTGCCAGTGAGTCGCCATGTCAGCCCCAGGCTTCTGCAATTCAACACAGTCAGGACGCTCACACAGCCATGAATGGAGAACGGTTATGGCAAGCTAGAGAGCATAGTGCTTCCCGGTTCCTGCAGCTACAGCTGATTTCACACATCAAGATAATGCCACACCACTGTTCCATTCCTCTGACTGCAGCACATTTTCCTTACTGGGTACGAATATGAGCCTCGAGAATACTTATCAGAATGCCACCTGGTGACAACAGATGCTATGAGAGCTGGCCGAGGGACATAGCCGAAGAGCTTCCTTAAGTCATCAAGCACCTCTTCAGCCACCTGAGAGCAGGTTGCATCACTAGACAGAAACGCCAATATGCGAATCGCTTGAGAGCGCCAAATCCTCCCATTCTCAACTTATCATCACTGAACACACCTAACAAGACCCACGTATCCTATGAATCAGATGGTGGAGAAGTACAAAACCAACTAATAGAGCTTGCCTTTACTGCGGGTGCGTCGTGGTGGCTTACTTCTTTGTCTGTCAGAGAGTCTATTGCAACGGATGCCGGAGGAAACAGGTGTGCTAAAATGCAGCCTGTCTTCCCATAAGCATGAAGATTTAAGTACTGGAAACAAGAATACGGTGACGAGAACGACGGGGTTGAGTGAGACCAGAAAACATCGGAGGGTGCAACCCGCAGAACTACCTGTATAAATGCCAAACTCAGGGTCGCACAGCGAATCCTTTTACCTCTCGCTGTATATGCGTGACAGCAAAACATACCTGGCCCTCTCTGTCCTTTTGCTCTAACTTGCAGACTGATGAGCATCCACTCAGCCAGTAAAGAGTAAAGAAACAACATAACATAAGGAAGGGAGCATCGGAGACGCATATGCAGGCTCGCAGATATACGTGGACACGAACCTTATTGTGGACTCCCATGCCCATGGCCGCAAGAGCCGCTACCTTCTCGGCTGGAAGTGGTGGTTGGAATGTTACGCGAGCTGCTGTCCCCTCGTCTTTCTCTGAAGACTGCTGAAGTAGCGATACCGGCAGTGCCACAAGAACAAATCGCGAACGAAGCCTGAAGCCACAAGACACAAGGACAGCCAACAAGGTTCTTTACGAGCACCATGCGCGATGCCTTCACTACAACACCAAGAACCTGACGATATATGCTTTTCCTTCCTGGCACTGAGAAGCACATAATGCACTTGGCATCACCATTTGCGGAGCACTTACTCTTGAGCTTCGCTTGAACCGTCGTCGGAATGGCAGCGGACAAGACAGGGGAATGCAGAGTCTTCATCAGTAATGGAAACAAAGGACACACGCGTATTGAGCCGGAACCTCTCGGGAGACAACTGCCCACGAAGCATGTCAACTAGCCAACTCCAACTCATGCAAATCCTGCAAACAAAACACACTTGCACCGGATATAAAAATAGCCAGTGGTTCTACAAGCATAGACTAAATCGTAGCTGGAGGCATCAAAGGTGGCTCCCTCCTGCATAAATTCTAGAAGCGTCCACAGTAGTCGCGTACAGATCTGAAGATACGGAAGGAGGTATAGCTGCAAACGGCCTCACGGCCTGCGACTTCTTCCGGTCTCTCTCGGCGAAGGCACATGAAAGATTTTCGGCATAGCGTCGCAAACCTGGCCCTGAAGAGAGCAAGTCACAGAAAAGAAAGTCGACGTAGCGAATACTCGAAAGACGACTGAGAACAGCAACAGCCCCGAACCATCAAGCGTGGCTTGATGCCTGGCAGTGGTAACACTCAAGACTTACAAGCCAGAAGCCGGTATTTCGGATTCTGTAATCTCTCCACGTCTCGCTTGAGCGCAGGAGTCTGGAAGAACGCAAAAAGTGCGGCACTGACATCTCCAAGAGGAGCAGCGAACCCAAAACGGCTTCTCAACATCCGAACGACCATTGCTTCCACTTGGCAGGCACAGCACTCTCCGACATCAATTTCAGTGCTGCTGTTGTCCTTCCTGTCCCTTGGGACTGCCAGAGAGCATAAGTCCTTCAACCGTCGCAAAAGTGTGGCAACCAATCCCCGCAAGGCCGACGGCAAGTAGAGCGACTCAAATGTGTTCTGATGAGGAGGCGTGTCCGCGCCTTCGGCCTCCTTGTGATGTATCTCGCACGCAGGCAGGAAACTACAGGGTGAAGAAGCTGCCTTTGCCTCCGCTGCTTCCTCTGCTTTTAAGAGCGCAAGAGCTTCCTGCTTTAGCAGAGTGAGGACTGAGACGGATGATCCCGTCTGCTGCTCCGCGGCAATCAAGGATACAGGGGTTGCGAGGCGGTAAAAAAGAGCATGCGCTAACGACACCACCAGCATACAGAAACGCCGCCCTCCCCTAAGCCAGTCAAAGTAATACGGGTTTTCCCACCCAGTTTCCCCCGGAACTATCGCAACACGGCACTCCGGAGAAGCAGCGGCAAGATGATACACACTGCAGCCCCTTCTGCGTGGCTTCAGCCGGACGTCATTCTCGTTGCCAGTGAGTCCATGCATATAATTCGCGCCTCCATCGATCCGCACGCTGCCATCTTTTGCTGTTTTCCCCTTTCTCCGACATGCTCCCTCCGCCTTTTGAGCGCTCCCCCGTGGCTGTTTCTCACCTGCAGACGCTGGTAATGTGATTGACCACACACGCCCCCCGAGACGACCCCTCGCCTCTATTACTTGGTAGTCAACCCCCGCTCTTTGGCAATGTAGAGCTCCAGCCAGGCCTGCCACGCCTCCTCCAACAATCAACACATCGAAAAAACGGGCTGGCTGCCGAGTTTTTGTGCAGCTGTTTCCAGGAGTTCCTTCAGGCGCCACTCCAACGTTTACCTCTCCCGCGACTGTGCCACCCCCAGTAGCACTAGATCCGAAATTGCCTGTTCCTGAGGGAGCCTGAGCAGTCGGCTGCGCCGGACGGCCTGCACTCCCACCTGCCCCTGCTCCAGTGCTGCTGGAACCTCCACCAGAAGGGCCCCCAGCGCCGGCGCCCCCAGCCGGGCCCCCGCCACCACCTCTGTCGGTTTCAGAGTCAGAAGAATCGCCTGTGTCGTCACTGTCTTCGTCTTCATCCCCTTCTCCTTCAACGTCATCATCTCCCTCTTCATCATCATCTTCGGCCGCGCCTGTCGCTCCCGATGCTCCCGAACCTGGCTTCGCGGCGTTGCCCCCTCCAACGCCTGATGCGCCGGCCCGTTGCTGCTGCTGTTGCTGCTGCATACGCAGAAGTAGCAGTTGCTGCTCCTGAAGTTGCTGGTGAAGAGAGGCGGTTCCGCTCGTCTCTCCCTGAAGCTGCCCCGGCGCTCTAGGAAGCTGCTGTTGCGCTGGTGCTGATGCTGCGTGGTCCGCCTTGTCCTGCCTGTTGGCATCTGACGCTGCGGCTTGGTGTTGTGGCTTCTGCAATGCGGCCGCTGGGGCAGCATTTGCTGGTGGCGCCTTCCCCTGTACCTCCTGCTGCTGCTGCAGCTGTTGCCAGGGCTCCTGCGGTGATGCACAGGTATTACGCTGTGGGTCCCACATATTCAAATAACAGAAGAACTTCGGCCTGAGAGCTTCCGCGTCCACCTCCGGAGGGAGTCGGCGCCACTTCTTGCATGAGCGGCACTCCAGCCATTTCCCTCCTCTCTCCGCCGCCGATGCTGCGGCTGTGTCCGAGCTTCCTTCTCGGCGCTCTGTCTCTCCTGCAGTCCCCCCAGATGCTGCGGCAGCTGCAGTTACTGCGCTCCCCGGAGAAGCAGCAGCCGCATTGGGCGTGGCCCTTCGGGCAGCATCGAGCAACCGAACTTGCTGCTGCTGCAGCAGCTGCAGCTGCTGCTGCTGAAGAAGCTGCAGCTGCTGCAGCTGGCCTCCAGCTCCACCAGAAGCGGAGCTGCCAGCGTGTTGCTGCTGTTGCGCTTGAGGCAGTTTGGCTTGCTGCAACTGCTGCTGCAATTGCAGCTGCTGTTGAGTAGCCGGCGCCGCGTTGCGTTGGCCAGAAGCAGCAGCAGCGGCGACTAGCTGCTGCTGTCGGAGAAGCTGTGTTGGTGGGTCAGCCTTGACGTCTGGTTTGGCTGTTTCTGTTGTCCTTGAAACACTCGTTGTGCGCTGTCTCTTTGCAGCGCTCTGCTGAAGTTGCTGCTGTTGTCTTTGCAGCGCTGCTGCTGCCTCCAAAAGCCGCTGTTGACTTTGTTGCGGCTGCTGCTGCTGCTGCTGCTGCTCCTGTTGTGCAGGATCGGGCTCCTCCGGAGCCTCACAAGAAGCAAACTGCGGGGCCCATGTATTCATCCTGCAGAACCACTTGTCGCTAGTTATTGGATTAGGAGCTCTTCTCCACTTGTTGCAAGCATCGCACTGCACCCAGTTGTCAAATACGACGGGGGGCTGCTGCTGCAGCTGCTGCAGCAGCTGGTGCTGCTGTTGTTGTAGCTGCTGCAGAAGTTGCTGTTGCTGTGCCTGCTGCATCTGATGCTGAAGCTGCTGCTGCAACAACTGCTGCTGCAGGGCAGGAAGATTGCCACCCGTAGCTGGACCTCCCCGCTGTTGTTGCTGCCCCATCTGGTGCTGCAGAAGATTCTGACGCACATGCGCAGTAACAGACGCAGCAGCATCCGCAGCGGGTATGAGTCCTGGGGCAAGAAGCACGTTTTCTCCTGGTGCCGCTGCAGGACCCTGCAATGGCAAAAACGACTCTAAGTGACTCAAATGGACTGTTGCTCTCCAACAGCTACACTGCTGTGCCTCCTAGACTTTACACTGCGGGCAGCTATAAAGACGGCTGTGCTACTGCCGCCGTTAGATGACTTACTGCATCTGCTGCACTGTTGCCAGTCTGAAGCGGCCTCTGCACTGCGGCAGTGCCCTTCGACGGCGCCCTAGACTTCGCCTTGGCTTTCGCTTTAGGCCTTGGGGCAGAGCTTCCCGCAAACCGCTGTTGTTGAAGTAGTTGTTGTTGCTGCAACTGCTGCTGCTGCAGCAGTTGCTGCTGTTGGCGCGTCTGCTGCTGCTGCATCTGAGCAGCGGGGTCTGGCTGCTCAGGAACACTGCAGGAAGCATATCGCCTGTCCCATGTATTCTGTTCACATACCCAACTGGGCTGCGTTATCTCGTATGGAGCCACACGCCACTTGTCGCAGCGGTCACACTGCATGAACGAACAGAAGCAGACGCAAAACGCCTTCGCGCTACAAGCTTCCCAGTACACCAAACGGAGCGCATCCTCTACTAGAAAATGGAATTGGCAAAAACTTGCGACTTCGCCCAAAACAAAAAGTAATGCTGAATGCAGCACAACTAGTGACGAGTCGTGCACCTAGGGAAGTCAACAGGTACCCACCTGGACCCAATGAACCTTCTCCGGTTCCTGCTGCTGCTGCTGCAAGAACTGCTCCTGCTGTTCTAAATGCAAGAGCCTCTGCTGAACTCCCGAAGCACTAGTTGCTCCTTGGAGCTTTGCTGTGATCCCCTGCTGCTGCTGCTGCATTCGCAGCAACTGTTGTTGCACGTGCAGGTTTGCAGGGAGCTGATTCTGCGGAAACTGCACACGCGGCTGCTGCGCACCTCCATGAGGAAGTGGCGTTGCCGCTCCTCCAGCCTGCGGCTGCTGCGGCTGCTGCTGCTGCCCTTGCTGCATCCCCAAAGTCAACAGCGGCTGCTGCTGGCCCCCTTGCTGTTGCTGTTGCAAGGCCATCGCCTGCCGAGCGGCAAAAAACTTCCCTCTTCTGGCCAGGCTATGCAGGGCCTAATGTCACAGCGCCGTTATGAGGCCTTCCCTACACTAATTTGTGGAAACGCCGAGGCAGTCCGTGAACTACGACAACACAGCACGGCCAAAGAGTCCCCAGCATGAGAGCACCGGGACTGAGGAACTCGCACTGCTGAAGTGGACGTACACTTGTTTGGAGAAGAGAAGAGCCGAACACCAAAGCAACCAAACAAACTCGAGCGCAAGCCAAATCGAAAAAGGCGCCGCATGGAGTACTCAAAACGGCTGCCGGCTACAACTCACGCGTTGCTGGCCCGCCGTCTCCTCCACAGGCCAGACGTATTGTGTCTGTGAAGAATATGACAAGTTCTACCCAAGGAATTGAAAAAGAACGCCATCACCTCCCCGGACAGGGATGCCAGCTGTGGCTACTCCAGTGGCAGGCCACAGCCGGACGAGAGTTCACGTGGGGGGTGAGGGTGCGACTGCTGCTTGTTGTGTGGCTGAGTCCCTTGCGTCTTATTGTCCTTTTATCACTCCAGACGAATTATTTTGCACAAGTTCACTACTAGCTCAGGCCCCTCTACACACGGGCTGCAAGAGACTGCTTTTCTGGCTGGGCTTAGCAGCACAGACCTCCCACGTGTCGTGGTAGTAGCTGCAGCGCAGCTCCACCCACGCAAAGTAGCAAGACTCGCTCCCTCATCTGCTTCCCCTACAATTTCCAAGGATTGTGTCCTATTTTTCAAGCGTTACGTAGACGACACGAACGGGAATGTGCACACGGAGACGTCATAGCACCTTTGATATGCCGGGTGACAGTTCTGGAGTGTTGCTCTCGTCGGTACTTGAATCGCCGGAGGGGCTTCTCGCTTGTCCCCACGTTCCCGTAAGTGTTAACTTAATCATGGGGCTAAATGATGTCTAGATGACTCACGGGTACTCAGTGGTGCAGTGTCTGGAGTCACTTTGGACATCCCAGCTGTGCTAGACGAGACGCCAGAGTTAGTAAGTGCTCACGCCTGATTTCCGAGGAATTTGACGACAAACTGTGCATTAAAGCGGAATAGCAGCGTATTGCTTCTCACTGGGATTGGAATGGCATGAAATTTTGAAGCCCTGTCAAGCATCAGCATTGTGGTACGTTGTTCATTGTTGACTCGGGGGAGAAGTGCTGCTCAAAACAAACGAGCAGTTCACTAGTATTTTGTTTTCGGAGAAATTTCGACATGTTCTTCTGCCCAGAGGTTTTTCCTATTGTGGAAGATATTGGGGATGGAAGTGAATCTGATCTGTGCAGGAGCCGTCATGCACAAGTGCCACAATTTGAGGGGCGCTTCACTGCGAATTTCAGCAGCTGCAGGTGCTGCAAACGTTGTGGATGCTTCTGTCATTTTGCGCGCTGAGCGTTGTGTGTTCGAACTATGCAGACGCTAGGCAGATTTTGTCGACCATTGTAATGCCGTTTGCATCCACACAAACGCGCGAGGTGGACCATCTAGTGCTCAATTCCCTCCTTAAGAAGACGAGTTGCAATGATGAAAAAAGCAAAAAGCAGCAGAAATTGTGGAGATAATGGAGCCGCAGGTGGTACACATGCTGGTTACTCAGTGACAGTGCTTTGCGATCCGGAGAATGACTTCCAGCAGCCATACCGGTGCTCACTGCGCTGGGCTTCACATGGTGAATAGCGCGAACACAGGCTAAATGCACGAGTTGTGCTGAGTTAGGGAGTGTTTGGTTTCTTCTGACTGCCACAAGTGACGCGGCGTAGGCAATAAGCCGTCCTATGCCAGTAGTGGCTACACATGGGGACATAATATTTGCTGGCCCCTTCCAGAATGTGGTGTGCCACAGGCTGTCCCCTAGTCCACTTCTCCCCTATCCACGCTGGAAGTCGAGAGTCATACCTACAGCCTGTGTTGTAGTCAGCTATGTGCATTGATATAATTCCCAACTGTCATCCTCTTCCTACGCCCTCCAGTCGCCAGCACCGACTAAATGGCACCTCCCGATATGCGTAGTTTTCAAACAACTTCGTATAAAAACAAATCGCGTTGCCACTGTACACATCAAAACTTCGTCAACGATTCCCATAACAGTGCAAAAAAACTGATGCAACGCCATTAAAAGCAGAACAAAATCTCAAGCCACGAAAATTTCCACGGCGCTGCTTGCCTGCTGCTGCACAAATGAAGCAAGGCCTTTGGTAGTCCGCTCTCCCATAAACTTGATTGGAGTATCGGATCCTTTCTTGAAGAACCACACAGTTGGGAAACCAGTCACCTTGTACTTCTCGTCCGGCAGTCGGTTCGCCGCGCCGTCCATTTTCGCCACAACCAGTGACTCGCTAGCTGTCTTCGACTCGGCCGCAAGCTTCCCAAACTCTTCGTAGATGGGCTCGAGCTTTTTGCAGTGTCCACACCACGGGGCGTAAACGAGCAACAGCACGTCCTACACAAAACGCGAAACAAAACACCACGAATCCTCCTAAACAATGCGGCCGCTCATTCAATACGCAGCGCGCTTTCATCTACACAAGTCACGCGAGCAACAATCCTTTGCAGTATTTCGAGCTAGCACGAGCGGTAGCGAGATATCCCTACATTCCAAACGTGCGCTGCGTGCTCCCGCATACTAAGTCCCGTTAGTGATTTCCTACCTTTCCTGCATCCAGAACCTGCGATTTGAACGTGTCGCCAACCACAACTTTCACAGCGCCATCATTCACCGTCGGAACCGGCTGC